CAGTCCCTCTCACCGCATCTCCCAGTGTTCTGTCCTTCACTTTGTCCTCCCCAGTCAAACTGACCTCCTTACTGTTTGCAGACCCATCAGACATTCTGACTTAAGGTCTTTGAACTATATTCACTTTTTCTGGACTTTTCTGTCTCCAGATATCCACATTCACTCCTGCACCTCCTTCACAGGTCTTTCCTTTAAGTAACATCTCAGTGAGGCTTTCTTTGACCACTGTTTACAACGGCAGTCTGTACCACAGCCTTCATCCCATCTTCTTTCCAACTTTTTCATCATTATACTTAACACAAATGAACAGACCAAACATTTTACTTATTTCTTGAAATGGAATATAAGTTCCAGGAGAGCAGGGAGTTTGACTCTCTAGATCATGGCTGTATTCCTTGGTGTCAAAACAGTTTCTGGTTCATGGTGGGCATTCAGTAAATGTTTGTTGGACATATGAGTTAATGAAGACAATATTACTGACCAAATTATTTTTTAGTGATTGTGATAAGCAACACTGAGTCCCTGGCCTGTTTTTGGAACCAACAGTATATAGTTGTAGTTATTGCCACGTATAAGAATGGAAGCAGAAGCAAATGTTGCCTTTTCAGAATCACCTGATTTACTAGATATTGCTTATGACATTTGTCTTATTCAAGCCATGCTTTCAGTGAGGTAACCTGAGCTTTTTGAAAATACTTTCCCTAAACATAAGGACAGAACTGTATTAATTTGATAATGACATATTTATGAAAGTAATTGTGAATTAACTTTTTTTAAAAAGCGTATATCTTAGTATTTTTATTATTGTTGCTATTGAACTTCAGGACTTAGAATCAAGGCTGCATTCAATGATATTTACTCCTTTTCAGAAATAGCATAGCACAGATATGTTTAAGCCATATAGTCTCTTTGTTAGAATATTAGCAATTAAAGCTTTTTCCTTGTAAGAGAAGTTATGGCTTCTATCCCCTTATGTTAAAGAGTTGAAAGTCTATTATAACTTAGTAACTTATAGAATTGCAAGTCTACTGAATAGAACGTGGTAAGGTTCTGGCCACTGGCCTCCAAGTGGCCCGTGGATTGTGTGAGGGCGTGGTATTTCTGTTGCCTTTGCTTGGACCCGCCCAATAAGGGAGGAGAGGCAGGGGTATGAGTAACTGCAGTGAAAGTGAGAGTCTCCCCTGACTCTCAGCCTCAGCTCAGTAGATTCACTTGATCCAAGTCCTTCCTGTACCCTGACCCTCGCAGGCTTCGGGGACTTCTTGGTGGACATTAGGCTGTCCTGCTGTCACTGCTGGGCCATCGTTGCCACTTTGTTTCTGAGGATTCTCCTGACCTTAGCGTTGTTTGTTTCCCCGTGTGGAGAGGGGGTGGGGAAGAAGAATTTTCAACTAACCCTGAGACCTGTTTGTAGTAAATCCTCCAAGGGATAATTGGCTTGTTTAGTTTTTGAATCAACCTCTTAAATGACTTGAACCTTAGTGATAGACTAAGAGAATATTTTGGGGACAACACCATATATTTCATATATTTCACCATAGATCCCCTGCACACCATCAGTTGGTGGCCCAGGCACCTCGATCTCTCCTTCTTTAGGATGAGTTTTCTATAAACCACCTTGTCCCTCAGAGGCTGGGGGCCAAGTTTCTTCTTCCTTTTTGTTTGAGAGTATTTTTTTCTCTCCAGAAGCCTGAGAAGCTCCAGTATAGTTCGGGTTCAGATGGGTGTGAGTGGTGGTGCCAATCAAATTCTTACCTAAATATATATAGACTTTTCTCTTTTCTAAGCAAATGAAGCAACTTGAGTTCTTTTTCATCTTGTTTTTTTGGCTGAATGCATGCACACCCTGTAAAGTAATGTAAGCATTTTGTACATACTATGGGTACCTTGAGAAAATAGCAGCAAAACTATGACATTTCAATAATTACATGAAAAAATTTTAAGTGGAAATCTACATCCTACTAAAAATAGATGGGGAACTTGTACTCTATTTTCTGTATTTTTTTTGCCAAAAATGAACTTTTATATTTGTGTTAGTATTTTTGTCTGACTTCTTTTAATCAGACACTCCTTTTTATTATAACTAGTTGCCCCCAAAATTGCCCTTCCCTCCCATCTCAGACACTGCTTGTCATTTCCTTTATCTCCTCCTCCTCATTTCTCTACCACCTATTACCTGGGACTACTGTGTATCCCAGGAATGCTATTGTTGCAAGAAACAGGGAAGAATGACTAACAAAAGTTTATATTTCTCACATAAGCAAAGTTCGGAGGTTACCAGTTTTAAATGTCAGGTTAATTTGAGCTACTGTGGCCTTTTCCATGTTCTCAGATGCTGGTGGTCCCTGACTGTGTTTATATTTAATAGTGAGGCACTGCATGGCTGACTCTTCTGAGGGCCTTCAGAGCCCTGGGCATCGCACCAGAAGGACTGTTGCCACTATTTCTGTTCTTTTTATCAGGGAATAAAACACCTTCCCAGAAGCTTCTTGAAAAGTGCCTAAAGCCTCACTGGCCAGGATATGTCACATGGATGTACCAGCTATAAGGGAGGGTGGAGATGTGAACCTTTTCAACTTCTTTTGGAGAGAGGGGACAAAGGAGCCAGCTGTCTATCACAAACCAAATTAAACACCCTTTTCTTTTTCTCACAACCCTTGGCTGATCTCTTTCTGTGTTGGCAGCAGCCGGACAGCAGGTGAAAGAACGTGGAATGGAGGGTAAATCCATGCTGTGTGTTTCATTGTTCCTCCTCCAGTCTCTCCCCACCCCCCACTGCTGGTGGTGCCCCCAACCCTGGCCCTAGTGTCATGGCAGTAGAACCAGTCCTAGGGTTTGTCTTGTGGTTCTTCTGTTACCTGAGGAACACTATCTTTGCTCCTGTGGTAACCTGAGCAGGAATCTCGAAATACAGCTTTTTCCCAGAAATGTAGATGAACCTCATTTCACATCTTTGTGTATCCAGAGACTCCACTGGTATCTGCCTGTACTTTTGTCTTCCCCTTTAAGAATGCATTGAAAACATAAGAGCGTCTCTATGCCATATCCTTAAGTTGACTGTTAACAAAGATCTGTTAAAGAACTCAGAAAGGTTATGTGTGTGTGAGAAACGCGTTATGCTTTATAGAGGCACATGGAGAGGCATCTTGGTCAGAAGACTAAAAAGAAAATTTGTACACTTTGACGTTCATCATTCCATTTCCCTTAGCCCCTGGCAACCACCATTCTATTCTGTTTCCATGAAATTGGTTTTTTTTTTTTTTTTTTTTTTGTACACTTCGACCTTCATCATTCCATTTCCCTTAGCCCCTGGCAACCACCATTCTGTTCTGTTTCCATGAAATTGGTTTTTTTTTTTTTTTTGGTTTGATTTTTAGATTCTATATATGAGTGATATCACACACTTCTTTTCCTCTGTCCAGCTTAGTTCACTTAGCACATGCCCTCCAGATTCATCCTGCAAATGGCAGGATTGCCTCTCATGTGGCTGAATAACATTATAAATCACATCTTTATTCATCCACTGAAGGATGTTTAGGTTGTTTCCATACCTTGGCTCTTCTAAATACTGGTCCAGTGAGCATGGAAATGCAGATACCTCTTTACGACACTCGGAGAAGGCAATGGCACAACACTCCAGTACTCTTGCCTGGAGAATCCCAGGGACGGGGGAACCTGGTGGGCTGCCGTCTATGGGATCGCACAGAGTCGGACACGACTGCGGTGACAGCAGCAGCTTTGAGATACTAATTTTACTTCCTTCAGATATTTACCCAAGAGGGATTATTTACCCAAGTGGGATTGCTGGATCTTCTGGTAGTTCATTTTTAATTTTTTGAGGAATCTCCATACCGTTTTCCATTATGTCTGTACCAGTTTACATTCCCACCAACAGTGCATAAAATTCCCTTTTCTTCACATCTGTGCCAATGTTTATTGTCTTTTGTTTTTTTAAAAATAGCCATTCTAACAGATGTGAGGTGCTATCTTGGGATTTTGTTTCCCTGATGATTAGTGATGATAAGCATCATTTCATGTACCTGTTGGCCACCTGTAAACCTTCAATAGAAAAGTAGCTTTTCAGATCCTCTGCCCATTTTTTAATTGGATTGTTTCTTGGCTACTCTGCTATATGTGTTCTTTATTTACTTTGGATATTAGCCCTTTAATATGGTTTGCAAATATTTTGTCCCATTCTGTAAGTTACCTTTTCAAATTAGAGGATCTAGTGTATAACATGGTGACTATAGTTAAAATGAGATTGTATACTTGACAGTTACTGTGAGAAGTTCTTTAAGCATTATTGCCACAACAAAAAAGTTAGCTACATTAACTATACGAGGTTGTTAATTTTGTGGATGTAATTATTTTTATTTTGATAAACATTCTTCAAAGTATATGTATATCAAATCACATTGTACACATTATATATATTCAATTTTGTATTTGTCAACTATGATTTGAGCAAATACCAGGAGATAATGAAAGACAGAGGAGTCTGGCATGCTGCAGTCCATGGGAGTCACGAAGAGTTGGACGCGACTTAGCAACTGAACAGTAACATTCCTCGATAAAGATTTTTCCTTTTATTTTAGTAAAAAGAAATAGAAAAGCCATTCTCTTGGACCTGTAGGGGAAAGATAGAAGGTAATTGAAGAGCTACTCCAGGATGAAAAAATGTCTTCAACGGCTATAGCAATATTACGTTGGCAAGAAGCTCAGCCTTTCCACAGTGCCTGCTCCCACCATGGGTCTTAAATCCTGCCATCAATTTTAAGACTTATTTAATTCCTTCATTGGTTCCAGGGGACCATCTTCAGTGACTTGAACCTGAGGTAGTCCCCACTTCCATTGCCTGGGGGCTGAGGGGAAGAGAGAGTATCTGATTACACACCAGGCTGGGGAGAAAGATGTGTTAACAATATCCCAAGTGGGGCCTTTGTGAGCACACGCTCACAGGTACAGTATTGCTAGTGATGGTTAAGGTGTACGGTCTGTTTAGTGTAGAAATGTCTGTACAGGATGGCGTTACAGGAGAGTGTTGTTAAAGTTTCCACCAGTGATCTTGTCATCGAACTTTGGGAAGGTGATTCAGTGGTGAGAATGCTTTTAAGCTAGTTCTGCTTCTGTAATTAATACCTGAAAGGGTAGTGTCACTACTCCCAATTACTCTTGTGTGGTCTTGAGGGAGGAGTCTGGTAATTTGATGTCAGTAGCTGTAGAAGAGTCTTTGCTATGAAGTTAGTTTGCAAGTTATTTTTAAAAGTCACTGCTTCAAGGTATTTGATAAATCTATTTTATGGCAACTGCTCAGAGGTCCAAGTACTGCAGAGTTGTTTTTATCAGAAAGTTTGGATGCCAACATGTTAAAATGAAAATGGCTGGTAACGAAAGAGGTGATAACTCCCTCAGCCAAGTTATAGATCCTAGTGTATGTCAAATAGTAGCAGACAGGATAGGTTGTGATCAGTAGCGAACTACCCAACAATCTGTGGCTTGTGACAACGGAAGTTTATTGCTCACTCACACTGTGCGGCATGGATGGGCCATGGCTCTGCTCCCGTCATCTTTACTCTGGGATCTTAGCCTATGGAGAAGGCTCTATCTGGGATGTTGCTCATCTTACAGAGAAGGGAAAAGAAAGAGGTGATGAATGACATGTTGGCTCTTAAAGTTTCTATGTGTGTCTGTCCAATTGCTTCAGTCGTGTATGACTCCGTAACTCCGTGGACCATAGCTCTCCAGACTCCTCTGTCTATGGGATTTTCCAGACAAGAGTACTAGAGTGGCTTGCCATGCCCTTCTCCAGGGAGCTTCCTGACCCAGGGATCTTCCTGACCCAGGGGCCAAACCCTCATCTCCTGCACATCTCCTGCATTGCAGGTGGGTTCTTTATTGCTGAGCTGCCTGGGGAAGCTCCTTAAAGCTTCTACCCACATTTAATTGACCAAAGCAGGACACATGGCCATTTCCAAGCTAAACAGGACAGGGATGTATAATCCTCCACAGGAAGGGGCAGTCGCTATCTTGAACAATAATATAATCAACTACACTAATATTGTAATTTTATTCTCAGGTGCATATGGAAACTACAATGTCCAGACCAGTCCTCTCTCCAACCCGCATCAATGCTACAGCTTCTGAAACATTCACAGTACTTCAGCAAAGGATGAGAATAGTTGAAGAACAGACCAGTTCTCTGAGGGATGACCTAATAATGTTGGACTTTGGTGACAAAAGGTACCAAATGAAAAATGAACACTGTAGGTTGAGTTTTGCTTCACTGGTTACAATAAGGAGTCACAGTATGGATGGTTTAGCAGTTGAAATAAGTATTTAGAAAAGAATTGAGAAATAACCATTTCAAGTAGGATATTAATTAGAAAATATTTGCAAGATAAAGGGTTGTCCTCCTATAATAGAGCTACTAACACTTCTAAACAGGTATTCTAAGTGTGTTATATATTCAATACTTGATTAAAAACAAGTGTGATTATTTACATAATTAGAAAAAAATTTGATCCTTTTGTAAAGATAGACTTTGATATTAAGATGAACATCTCACTTGATTCATGCCATTAATATGATCTGTATTTTCTTTCTCCAGATTTATTGTAAATTAAAAGAGAGGTTTTTTAAGTCTTAAAAATTCATAGTTTAAAATGGTGCTGCTGCTGCTAAGTCACTTTAGTCGTGTCCAACTCTGTGCGACCCCATAGACGGCAGCCCACCAGGCTCCCCCGTCCTTGGGATTCTCCAGGCAAGAACACTGGAGTGGGTTGCCGTTTCCTTCTCCAATGCATGAAAGTGAAAAGTGAAAGTGAAGTCGCTCAGTCCTGTCCTTCTCTTCGCAACCCCATGGACTGCAGCCTACCAGGCTCCTCCGTCCATGGGATTTTCCTGGCAAGAGTACTGGAGTGGGGTGCCATTGCCTTCTCCGAGTTTAGAGTAAAGTACTCAAAAAAAGAACTGTGTTTTTCCTTTGTGCTGTGGAAGAAGTTATTCCCATTAAAAGTTAGGTTGTTAAAGGCCTGAGGAATATGGGTGCTTACACAGCCAATATTGAATTTACTGGTGTGATTTTCTTTAAAATTACATATATATATTTCCTGAATGTCTCTTATGAAGATCAAAAATTAGTATGATTGGTGTTACAGCACCTATAGAGTAAATAACTGTTCAGCAGTTAAAAGATTAAAATTGTACCAGTGTTGAGTATGTTAGAACAAAATAGGAATTTTTATTATGTCTTTGTTTAAAAATTTTCTAAGGATGTGAGTATATTGCCTCTATGCTAACTAATTCTTAATTTTCTATTATAGAATTAGCATTTAGCATGTTTTATGTATCACTTGTTTTTACATACCAAGCAGGTTTACGAAAAATTCAGATTAAAATGACCATTAAAATGTTGGTAACTTTTACCTCCCCCCTCCCCCCCCAACTGGTCTCATCCTGCTTACCTAGTTGTTGTCGTTTGGTTGCTAAGTCACGTCTGACTCTTTGTGACCCCATGACCTGTAGCCCACCAGGCTCCTCTGTCCGTGGGATTTACCTAATAGTTCTCTCTGTAGTTAAATTTGCAGAGGCTATCAGATACTTGTTAACTAAAGAACTTACTGTTTGTTCTCAGGAGAAATGCAACACTGACTCAATGCTTTCAGTTTCAGTTCAGTCACTCAGTCCTGTCTGACTCTTTCCAACCCCATGAATCACAGCACGCCAGGCCTCCCTGTCCATCACCAACTCCTGGAGTTTATTCAACCTCATGTCTACTGAGTTGGTGATGTCATCCAACCATCTCATCCTCTGTCATCCCCTCCTCCTCCCGCCTTCAATCTTTCCCAGCATCAGGGTCTTTTCAAATGAGTCAGCTCTTTGCATCAGGTGGCCAAAGTATTAGAGTTTCAGCTTCAACATCAGTCCTTCCAATGAATACCCAGGACTGATTTCCTTTAGGATGGACTTGTTGGATCTCCATGCAATCATAGGGACTCTCAAGAGTCTTCTCCAACACCACAGTTCAAAAGCATCAATTCTTTGGTGCTCTTTCTTTATAGTCCAACTCTCACATCCATACACGACTACTGGAAAAACCATAGCCTTGACTAGACGGACCTTTGTTGGCAAAGTAATGTCTCTGCTTTTTAATATGCTGTCTAGGTTGGTCATAACTTTCCTTCCAAGGAGCAAGCATCTTTTAATTTCAATGGCTGCAGTCACCATCTGCAGTGATTTTGGAGCCCCCCAAAATAAAGTCATCCACCATTTCCACTGTTTCCCTATCTATTTGCCATGACGTCATGGGACCAGATGCCATGAACTTTGTTTTCTGAATGTTGAGCCTTAAGCCAACTTTTTCACTCTTCTCTTTCACTTTCTTCAAGAGACTCTTTAGTTCTTTGCTTTCTGCCATAAGGGTGGTGTCATCTGCATATCTGAAGTTATTGATATTTCTCCCAGCAATCTTGATTCTAGCTTGTGCTTCATCCATCCCAGCGTTTCTCATGATGTACTCTGCATATAAGTTAAATAAGCAGGGTGACAATATACAGCCTTGATGTACTCCTTTTCCTATTTGGAACCAGTCTGTTGTGCCATGTCCAGTTCTAATTCAGTGGTTGGGATTACTTTATAATATTGTTATATTGGCATCTTTGTCCAGGGGCCAATTGGAAACTCCAGAATGTTTAGAACAACCTGTGAGCCAGAACATCACTGGACCTATCCAGAATGAGATAATTTGTTCAGGAAAAACAAATATTTTGTGGAAGAATTGTGAGTTCCTGGTCAATCGAATGTGCCGTCTGGAAAGTCTCATCCAGTCTTTGAAGATGAACATCTTCCGTCTGCAAACCGAAAAGGATCTGAACCCACAGAAAGCAGGTACGGAGAGAAGAGAATCACCAGAAAGTTGGCCTGTGTGGGTGCTTGATGAGCTTGTGATTCCTTTCCTCACCTTCTTTAAGCTGCTTGGTGACCCTTCTGTCCTGTCTGGTAGATTTCCTGAAGGAAAGACTGAATACCATACAGGAGGAGCATTCCAAGGACCTCAAGCTGCTGCAACTGGAAGTGATGAATTTGCGCCAGCAGCTGCGAGATGTAAAAGAGGAGGAAGACAAAGCGCAGGATGAGGTGCAGAGGCTGACTGCGACTCTGGAGATTGCCTCTGAAACAAAGGTTTGTGTCCACGTCCTGGAAGACAAATTCACCATTGTGTGTTAGCTGGAGGAGGCAACAGACCCAAAAAACTGACTTTTAAAAATAGGTGATGTTGATGTGAAGATTCTTGACATTTGAAATTTATCTCCATCGATAGTATAAAGCGTTGTGTGCTATTAGTAACTGAATATTTACAGATCTCTTCTATGTGACTTTTGAGGACCCAGAGGTGTGAGGGAGTCTGAGTTCTTCAAAAGCTTATATGCTTACAGGGAGAACAAGGCATAGCAGGAAACTAAAGAGAAAAAATAAGGGTATAAGAAATATTAAAGGACAGTATAGGACAAATGTAAGCCAATATTGCCAGCTAAGTGTTTTATGTTCAGGCGGGTTTGAGAAGATGTACATGTCTTGTCTAGAACAGATTAGGCTAGGCGTCAAAGAAGAGACAGGACCTGAGCTGAACCTTTAGAAGGTAAAGCAGAGAGGTGTGGATATTTCAAAGAGCACTCACAGAGGCAGCAAAAAATAAAGACTAAGGAAAGAAATATGTCTTCCCTCCATAGGCCAGGCAGTATAACAGAGATTGTTTTGTTTAAAACATGTTACTTTGCTTAATCTCTGCAAAACCTCAAGGGTATTATTGCCCTTATATTAGTGATAAGAGGACTGGGGCCCAGAGAGAGGTCACTTCTCTGAGATCACACTTCCCTATATTCTTCCTGTATCTCAGATTTGAACCTGTATCTTTCTGCTGGGTGCAGTCAGGGGGAGATGCATAGGCTAGCCTGACCAGAGTGAAGATTTGTTTCTGTGAAGTAAGTTGGAAAGAGCTAGGGCTAACTTCGTAAAGGATCTCAAAATCAAGAGTAATCAAGTAGTCGGGCTTGGTTTTAGGGGGAGTGACTAGATTTTTTATAAGAAAGTGAAAGTGAAGTCGCTCAGTCGTGCCCGACTCTTTGCAACCCCAAGGACTGTAGCCCACCACGCTCCTCCGTCCATGGGATTTTCAGGCAAGAGTACTGGAGTGGGGTGCCATTGCCTTCTCCAGAGATAAGAAGTGACATAATGAAAATAAGAAAACTAATCCAGAAATAGTATAGGACAGCAGCCCCCAACCTTTCTGGCACTGGGGAATGGTTTTGTGGAAGGCAGTTTTTCCATGGGGATGGTTCAGGATGATTCAGGCACATTGATTGTGCTGCTGATCATCTGTATTTGCAGCTGCTCTCCATTGTTAGCTCCACCTCAGATCGTCAGGCATTGGAATCTCCCAAGAAGCACGCACCCTAGATCCCTCACGTGCAGTTCATGGCAGGGCTCACGTTCCTGTGAGAACCGAACGCTGCCGCTGGTCTGGCAGGACACGGAGCTCAGGCAGGAAGCTGAGCCGTGGGCGCGGCTGTAGACACGGTGGGAGCTTCGCTTCCTCACCCAGTGCTCACCTCCTGCCGTGTGGCCGTTTCTGACACTCCACAGACCAGCACTGCTCCATGGCCTCAGGGCTGGGGGATCCCTGACAGAGTATCAGTTACAGGAAGAGAGGCTGGAGACAGGAAAACTGGCTAGGAATCCATTGCATTATTTGAGGCATAGACCTTATTAGGTCTGAACTACAGTCGTGGCATTTTGAAAAGAAAGGTATGCTGGAATATGGTATTGGGCAGGGGCTCAAGGTAGGGAAGAAGGCATAGATGACTCTGAGGTTTTACATCTTAGATTGCGGTGCCATTAATAATAATATGAAAGAATGAATAGTGAAAGCTGCGTTTTTCATCCTCAACTCCTAAGCATATTTGAGGCCAGAAGAAATGATGTCTGTTATTTTAGTCTCCAAGTTGTATCCGACTTTTTGTGACCCCCATGGACTCTGTGGGGTTTCCCAGACAAGAATGCTGGAGTGTGTTGCCATTTCCTTCTCCAGGGGATCTTCCTGACCCAGGAATCGAACCCACATCTGCCTTGCAGATGGATTCTTTAACTTTGAAGCCACTAGGGAAGCCCCAGAAGAAATAGAGTACTTTTGAAAAAATAGGAATATATCCCATAAGAAAAATATCTCGCAGTTACCAGGTTTTCCTCTGATGGTTGAATTTTTACATAGGAGGTACCTGTGACTAATCATTTTTTAATGATCTAAAAGGGAAAATTATAGAAGTCATGAATCAAAGTAATAAAATAACTTTAAATATCTCATTGTAGTAATTTCTTTAGATTCATATTAAGAAGTATTTATAACTGTAGTCAGAATAGCTCTTACGGATTTCTCCCAAAAGTCTAGATTTGATATACCTATGGACAGTTTATTCCTATCAGATTTTAGAACCTTTTCTACTTCTATTTTTAGAAGAATGCAGCTATTATTGAAGAGGAACTGAAGACCACAAAACGTAAAATGAACCTTAAAATTCAAGAGGTAAGGTAAAAGGATGCTGAGTGGGTGGAGGGGGCACTGGAATTGTAGAGGGGGATGCCAAGAAAGTGAATAGAGTAAGAGGAAACCACTGAAGAAGAAAATGTGACTATCAGGAAGGTTTTTAGAATATGCTGCTTGAAGTTATACCCGCATTTATATGACATTATGACTTCCTTTCACCTCAGTAATGCCATAAAACTGAAAAGATAAGCGCTCTCTGAGTTGGGAGGGAAACAGTGACCATGGAACTCGTGTGGTTGCCGTCCACTAGAGTTAGGGGACCCCTTCACACAGAGACCTTTACATCAAGTTAGCGTTTAAAATAAAAAGCTTTTAATAAGTCTACTCATCTAATTCTACCTTATAACTTTCATTTCAGCCTCTATTTAAGTAGATAACAGACTGGAATTATGAAGTAGGTGGCTACTAAAAGTTGTTGGACTCAAAATTTGCAGCTGAAAACAGTGAGAAGAGTCAGAATTACTAACTCAATATACCCTGACAGTGTCCTAAAAACCTCAGTATTCCCTGACAGAATAATTGACATTAGTCCAAATCAAAAGGATCAAATTATATTTAAAACATTCTGTTCTACAAGACAGATATACTGTTATAAAAATTATAAATTTTAGTGTGCTTAAGGTGGTAAGTGTAGCTATATCTGGAACATTCTCTTATGTGAAGTGCTTTATTTACCAGTAATTACTGACAAAAGCATTATTGTTCATTGCTGGAATATATTGTTTCACATTTAAAAAAATACTTTGGATATTTTAATAGACTTTTTTGAGCAGTTTTAAGTTTTTAGAAAAATTGCACATAAGCAGAGTTCCCATATACCCTTTCTCCCCACCCCCAGAGTTTCTGCTTTTATTAACATTTTGTATTAGTCTGGTGACATTGATTTGTTATATTTGATTATGAACCAGAATTGATACATTATTACTGAGTCCACAGTTTAGATTGTTTCATTTTTTAATTGATTACAGTATACAAAAGAGTTTCACTTCACTGCCCTAAAAATACCCTCTGCTTTACACACTCATCACTACCACCCCCTTTTTCCCAAGCACCTGGCAACTACCGATCTTTTCACTGTCTCTGTAGTTGGAGTCAGTTGCCTTTTTGGACTGCCTTCTTTCACTTATTTAGCATATGCATTTAAATTCTCCATGTCTTTTCATCGTTTGATCATTTATCTTTATCACTGAAGAATAATAAGTTGTCTGGATGTACCAAAGTTTATCCATCCACCTACTGAAGGATGTCTTGGTTCCTTCCAAATTTAGCAATCATGAATAAAACTGCTATAAGCATTCATGTGCGGGTCTTTTTTTGTTTTTTGGACATGTTTTTAACTTGTTTGGATAAATGCCTAGGAGCGTGATTGATGGATCATACGGTAAGCTTGTGTTTAGATGTCTAAGAAACTGCCTGCCTGCCCTGCAGTGACTGTACCATGTTGCGCTTCCACCAGCGATGAATGAGAGTTCCTGTTGTCCCACATCCTCACCAGTGTTTGGTGTAGTCAATGATTCGAGTTTTTGCCATTCTAATAGGTGTATGTATAGTGGCATTTTGTTTTAATTTTCAGTTCCCCGATGATGTGATATTCAGCATCTTTTCATACGTTTATTTGCCATCTGTTTATCTTATTTGGTGAGGTGTCTTAGATCATTTCCCCATTTTGCAGCTGGGCCTTTTTTTTAATCTTACTGTTGAGTCTTAGGACTTCTTTTATATTTTGGATACCAGTCCTTTATCCATATGTGTTTTACAAATATTTTCTCCCAATCCATAGTTTGTCTTTTCTTTTAACAGTGTCTCTTGCAGAGCAGAACTTTTCTTTTTAATAAGTTCAACTTGCCACTTTTTTCGTGGATTATACTTTTGGTAATTATATCTAAAATATTAAAAAAAAATATTGCCAAACCCATAGTCACCTAGATTTTTCTGCAGTATTATCTTTTAGAAGTTGTATAGCTTTGCATTTTACATTTAGGTCTTGAATTGCTACTTTTGTGAAAGGTGTAAGGTCTATATCTAGATTCTTTGTATGAGTTTGTGTATGTCCAGTTGATCCAACACCAGTCTGTTGAAAAAACTATCCTTTCTCCATTGGATTGCCACTTAGCATTGTTTTTTATTGGAAAAGTCTTCATTCTTGGTGCTGTGGTAAAATCTTGAATTTTCATTGAGCTCGCTGAGGACCTGAAGAAGGACTCTGTGAGTCCAGCAGGAATGTCTTGAGGGCATGTGGGACAAGGAGGGTGTATTCTGCTGGGGCTACCACACACTGCCACACACTAGGCTTCAGCAATGGAAGTCTTTGTCTCACTGTTCTGGAGGCAACAAGTCCAGGATGGAGATGGCAGCAGGCTTGTTTTTCTCTTGAGTCCTTTCTCCCTGGGCTGCAGACGGCTGCGTTTTCTCTGTGTCCTCACATGGTCTTTTTTCTGTGCACGCATCCCTGGTGTCTCTGCGTACACATTTCCTCTTGTAAAGACACCAGTCACGTTGGATTAGGCCCCCCTCAGTGACCTCACTACTGAAGTGACCCTTTAAAGGCTTCATCTCCATTTATGGTCGTATTCTGAGGTCCTGGGGTTATGGCTTCAACATATGAATTTTGGGGAGGTACACTTCAACCCCTAACAGAGCTAAACAAGGAGTAGGGTAATGCAGTGTATGTGCTTTCTAAGAGATAAATATATACATAAAATCTGATTCTGATAAACATGAAATAGATTAACTGATTGCCCTTAATAAAGCTTTAGGAATGAGTATCTCAGTAGTATAATTAGCAAATAAAGATTCCTTTTGTAAGGCACATAAATTGTGTCTTGAGCAAATTATACTGTATAGTTTGAGGTAGAGCTTAACCACTTCTCTTAAATCATAAAGTGGTTGTAATGTGATACTGAAATAGAACCTGAAAAGTACAGCCAAAAGCAAAAACTATGACTCATTCTTAAATAAAACTAGTATTTAACTGATCATTGGTTAAGGAAGGAATTTTGAAACTTGAAGGAACAGGATTATTAAAAGCTCAGTTGGTTTGACAATATAAAAATTAAAATCTTAAAAAAAAAAGAAAAAAAAAATTAAAATCTTATACATGTAAAAAAAACAAAACATAATGAAATTAGACAGTTAATAATCATACCTTTTAAAGAACTTTAAATGAAAATCTCAAAATCAGTGGGCAGAGGATAAGAACAGTTCAGAAAATATGTGAAGAACTAATAACCATATTGGAAAATTTTAGTCTTACTCGGAACCAAAGGAATGAAAAAAATATTAAGATATTGCTTTTTATTTATTAGATTAGCAAAGATTTAAAAATGTGATAATATCTAGTGCTGCTGACATTTATTCAAATACTAATAAGAAAGTAAGATTAGAAGAATAATTACAAAATGTATGAAAAGTCTAAAATAAAATAGTATTTATACTTTTAACCTAGTAATTCCTTTTGTAGGATTTATCTCAAAGAAATAATGAGAAATTCAGTGAAAAGTTGTTCAAATCATGTTCAGCAGAGCAGTATGGACTAGCAAGACACTTGAACACTTGAAATGTCCAGATGTTCAGGATTAGGTGTAGGGTTAAGAAAGTCATAGAACGTTTCCAAAATAGTCTATCTTGTAACAGTTTCATGTCAACATACTTTTCATCTTTTTCACTTTGAAAAACTTTTTAAAAACTGTAAAATAACACCATCCTTCAAGAAGACACATATAAATTATGTATGTACAATGTACAAAAGAGTTATAAAATATACTCAGGTTGTCTTCACTGGAGTTTAAAAATAGAATTTCTTTCAATTTAATATAAGTTTATAAAGGGAATGCATGTATGCTCTGTGGCTTCAGTCGTGTCTGACTGCTGGCGACCCCGTGGACTGGAGCCCCCAGGCCCCTCTGTCCATGGAGATTCTCCAGGCAGGCTCACTGGCGTTGGTTGCCATGCCCTCATCCCGGGGACCTTCCCCACCCAGGAGCTGACCCGGAGTCTCCTGTGTCTCCTGCCTTGGCAGGTGGGTTCTTGACCACTAGTGCCACCTTCAGTTTCCATTAAATTGGAAAGAAGGAAAAAAAAGCTTAACCTTCTTTGTATCTTTATCTGACTCATAGTCATTTATGGATAGAAATAAGGTCAGTGTACCCAAATTCTTGAATGTTATTTTTGTCTGCTACTTAGCAACTACTTTATTATTTGTTCTGATCTTTAAATTCTGACACAAAAAAAATCCAATACATAATTAAAACAGCTTTCTGAGAAATGTTTATAATATTATGGGATAAAATAGATATATATACACACACACATATGTATAGATGAAGAAATCAAATTCTAGAAAAACAGAGTTAAACTAAATACAGAAAATACACACACTGAGACGTATTCGTGTTTTTCAAACTTCGACCTGTCTTACACAGCAGCAGCATCCCAGGGACGTTCCATGAAGCAGGACTCGCTACTTGCTCTGTGCTCCAGTATTTTCTTTGTGTTCTGTTTTGCCCCCCTTTTCAAATGCTTCTTGCAACTTACAGACGAGTCTTGACTGCAGTTTGGAAAATAGACTTACATAGTAGAAAGGTGAGGGTAACAAATTTGACTCTGCATTTCTTAGAAAGTTAACCATTAGGGAGAAACAAAAACATGTTTTTGCGTAGTCATAAAGGTAGGAAGAATGAGGGTGAGATGGTATGTCTGTAAACTTTTCATGGTGACTTTGATCTTTGCTAAACTGCTGCAAAGTTCCCTTGGTCTCACCTAACTGCAGTGTTACTCTGTAGCTAAGGAGACAGCTGTCCCAGGAGAAGCACCTCAGAGAATCTCTTGAGAAATCTGGATCAGCCTTGCTACTCAGAATACAAGAAATGGAATCAACAGTGGAGGTGGAACGGAAACAGGTAGTGAGATTTTCTCTCCTTGTTTATGTTGGGGAAGTGAAACCAAAAGGGAAAAGCCAGTGTTTTGGCTATAAACCTATAGTTTTGCTAATTTCCTTTAGATTTATTAAATTCTTTTCTTTAGTAATCCTCTATTAATATTCTTACTATGATTTAAAAAATTCTAGTCCAAAATAAGGACTCTGATGCCATTCAGCCCAATACTCTTACTTTATGAATGGGGAAGCAAAGGACAAAGGTTATTATGTGTCAGGGTTTATAGAGGTGAACTCTTAGCTCCTAGGAGGGAGTCATTCCCCCTACCACATACTCTGTGCTCCAGGAATTGATTTTGGAAGGTATTTCCCTAGTCTTGTATTATATGTACATGATGTAGATAGAAAAGAATAATTAAACTGAGCTGACATTTGAAGCATAGAATACCAGTAAGTCAAGTAATCAGGAACGTGTTTACATTGCTGTTTTCAGTTCTTGTCATTTATTTTAGCATAATATTTTTGCCTCCAAAAGTTGTTATTTCAAGTACCTATGTGTATGGCTCAGATTGTAAAGAACGTGCCTTCAGTGCCAGAGACCCAGGTTTGATTTGGAAAGATTCCTTGGAGAAGGGAATAGCCACCCACTCCTGTATTCTTGCCTGGAGAATTCCACAGACAGAGGAGCCTGGCAGGCTCCAGTCCACGGGATCTCGAAGAGTTAGACATGACTGAGCGTGTCACTCAAGTTCACTCACTCACATAAGATTCTAAATTGCAAGCACCCAAGGCAATTAGTAGCTTCAAATCCTGATACCTATAATTAGAGTATGTAATGTTTATTATTTTAATTGATTTTGTTTATTATTTAATTGATTTAAATGATTCCTAACAGTGGAATTATTAAAAGGATTCTACTTAAGGAATTTGCAAATGATCTGTTATTGCTATAATTTATTCTGCCAATATCGGCCATTAACCACTTGTGGTTATTTAAATTTAAATTAGTTAAAATTAAATAAAATTAAAGGTTCAGTTCCTCACCCTGGCCACGTTTCGAGTGCTCAGCACTTGGTCCTGAGCTGGTGCCTGCTGTGTTGAGTGCACGGATGTCTCCTGGATGGCCCCACTGTAGGACACTGTACCCTGCTGAGATCTTCAACATACAAACTCTGCTTCTTCCTCCAGTAACATTCAGAAAATCGGCTTTACACATGTGCTGTAAGATAGCTTAAAAGGAATTTTTTTTTGCACAATTTCAGGTGCACATTTTGCAGGAGAACTGCATTGCCCTACGCAGTTCTATTCAGGCCACCCAAGAACTACTGGCCCAGGAGCAGCAGCAGAAAGGAGCGTTGGAGACTGCTTCCTCACAGCTCAAGTCTGACCTCGGTATGAAAATAGATGCTGGAAACTACACTTTTGTTAGTTTGTTGAGATTTTATGCAAAAGCTTTCAAGATTCCAGATTCTTGTAGTGGCCAGTGATACTGGTATTCCCACAGAATGTAAAAAATTGCTGGCTTTCTTTCTGTCCATGGCACTGGGGGGGAAAAAACTAGAATTTGACCCTCTTGATTTTAAACTAATTATTTAGATTTTTACCAAGTTTATTCAATTGTGGACTTGGGACTTTTGGGTTCTATAAATCTAGATTGAATGTTGGGTTATAGAGTGCTAATAAAGAAATGAGGCCATTAATCCTTGCTGAGTTACTGATTCTAACCATTTATCATGTCAGACTCTCCATTCTTCAGGTTATCAGTCTATTTTGGTTAACTTGTATTTGTAGAAATGGATGGTTGTAAGGTACTATAGACAGAGCTTAGATTAACTCGTTTAACTTTTTTTTTTTAAGAGTCCTTAAAGACGACAAAGCTAGAAGATGGAAGTGTCTAGACTTGATCCCAGGGAGCTTAGAGACATGTTTCTTCCAATCCAACATCCTTTATCAGACTGCTGTTTGTTAATATATAATTATAAAGGCAGTTTTCAAATAGATCTCACTGTAGAAATCAGAATTCCAGTGCAGTGCCTCACAAGTGAATAACACTTCATGGTTTACAAAAACCACTTTTACAAAAATTATCTCATGTAACACACAAAACTACCTGTACTTTCCAGAGTTACAGGATGAATAAATAGTGAAGTGAGGCCTAAACTGGATCTTCTAACTCCAAACCCAATGTTCTTATCAGTGCGGCTTCTACAGTGTGGCTGTAATGAGGGTGGGAAATACTGAAAGATAAATGAAATTTAAAAAAAAATAGAGCAAAGAGTAATCCATTTAATGGTTTTACTTGCTGCTTTTAGCAGAAGGTACTCTTTTCATATAATTGTCAAGTAGGGAATTGTTCTGTGAAATTCTCACTGATAATGCCCCAGGATAAGTTTTTGTCTTCCTATGATTGCATACTTAAAAAAACACACATTACATTTTATGATACCATGACAGTATCCCATTTGAGCCTTACAGCATACTTGTGAGAAAGGTAAAATATACCTCATTCTACAGAAGAATAAAAAGATGTATATCGAAGGACCCCCAATAAATAGAATAGCTGGGACTAAAATACAGATCTTTCTGTTATTATTAGTTGTCCTTCTGATTAAGTGATTTTTAAAAAATGTTTCTTTCTTGATAGATTAATGCTTTCCTTTTGAATTTTTAAAGAATATATGAAAGACCATTAAAAACATTAAGATTAGAATAACAGTAATTCAAGCTAACATAAAGAAAAGGAGACCTGTCTCAATACCAACTATATGCTTCATATTGAGTAATATATGCTTTACATGCATGCAATTTTATTATTTAAAAATACAAATATTGATAGTTATTATAATTAGATTAGTAAAAGGAATGCCTTTAGATATTTGCTTCAATGAAGTTTAAAATGTACCTTTTTATTATTAGCAATAAACATGTATATATGTGTGTGTATATGTGTGTGTATATGTGTGTGCATGAATACATACACACTAAAGTGATTACATTGTTTTCCTAAATAGAATAAATTTTCCCCTTTGATTCTTTCTTTGACTAGTGGAATTTCCAAGATAGATCATATAGTTTACCTTTTTGATCCTTCACATATGTTAAATTAGAGTTTATTTAAAATAAGTCTTGGACTCATTTTCAAGAAGTATACTTTTCCTGAGTATATCATAAATGTGAATTTTTATGTGTTTTATAATTTTTCTGGCTTTAAATACTTAAGTGACAAAACTAATAGATCTTTATGAATTTTCTGTGAAGCCAAATGTTAATCTCTGAAGAGTTTACATCTTTTGGCTACTAGTATATCAAGGGTTTCCCTGGTGGCTCGGTGGTAAAGAATCTGACTGCTAGTGAGGAGACTTGGGTTCCATCCCTGGGTCGGGAAGATCTCCTAGAGAAGGAAATGCCAAACTGTTCCCCTATTTTTGTCTTTGGTTTTCTTTTCACTATATATACAGACTCTCTGAGTGGTTTCAAATCCCACCCCCCACCTCAAATCATCCTCCTGAGTTCCAGATGGTATCTTACTGCCAACTAATCATCTATATTTAGGGACCTTGCAAATACCTCCAAACACATGATGAAAGTGTAAGTGTTGGAGTCATTCTTACTCATTGTATCTCCCAACCTGCTCCTTGCCCTGAATTCTGTTTAGTTGAATCCACCATCCACTCGGCTGTCCAGGGCTGCACCCTAGATTATTTTCTGGACTCACCTGTTGCCTTCACTTCAGTTGGTCATTCAGCAAATCCTGACAGTCTTCTGCTTATTCTTCTGCATTCCCATTGTCATTACTTTAGAGCCAGCTTTGATTGTTTTACACTCTGGTTACTGCAACGGCTACTAAACTGATCTCCCTGTCTTTATGGAGCCTTTGTCAAAGTAATCTAGCAAACAGCTTTGTCCGTTTGCCTCTCCAGCTTGAAATCCCTCAGAAACTCATCATTATCTGTGGGTTGAGTGAAATGTGACCTCATTTACCATTGCATGTGACTGTGGACTAGTTTTCCATGATTTAGTTTCAAGTCTATAAAAACATGATCGAAATACTGGCGTTCTGCTTATTTCTGCAAAATACAGACTCAAAATCTTTTTTAAAAAAATGAAAATTTCTCAGGAGAAAAAATGAGATTTCAATGTAGTTGTAAGTTATTAACATCTTAGTTATGTGAACTTTTTGTCTTTAGTTTCTAGAGACAACATCATTTCCAAGTTGGTTGAAGAAAATAAGGTAAGTTTAGAGATTTAGAGTACAGAGGTTTTCTTTCATTTCTTCATTAAGTAATATTTCCTCATTCATGTTGGTTTATAGTCCTTCTGATTCTTCTAAAATCTTTATTAAAAATTTCACTGTATATGAGTTTATATACAGAACTGTTATCAACTGGATATTATGAAATAAATTATTTCAACCACTTGTAAAAGAATGAAACTAGAACACTTTCTAACACCCTACACAAAAATAAACTCAAAATGGTTTAAAGATCTAAATGTAAGACCAGAAACTATAAAAATATTTTTGTTGATGGCTGCTCAACATCATGAATGTATGTACTTAATACTGCTGAACTAAACAAACTTAATACGTAAATATTTTTAAGTGAACTGTACACTTTAAAATGGTAAAAATGAGTATAGTTCCCTGTGCTATGTATATAGTAGGTCATTTTTGGTTGTTATTTTATGTTAATCCCAACCTCCTAATTTATCCGTCCCCACCCTTCCCCCATAAAGGAAAATAATCTAAAAAAGAATGCATATATTATTATATATATTCTTATTATATATGTATATATTATTGTGTACATAATATATATACCTTATATATACATATGTTAATATATAATATATTATGCACATATACATATATTAACAATATAATATACTATGTATATATAATATATTAATATTATATATAATATATAGTAACATATAATACATATAGTATAGTATGTTATATATAGAATTATATATATAATTAACATTTATATATATAATTAACTATTATATATGTAATATAGAATGTTAATATACACATTTTTATATAACTGAATATATAACATTTATATATAACTGAATAAATATATAACATATATAACATTTAATGCAACTGAATTACTAAAACTAACAGTACTGTAAATCAAATATACTTCAATTTAAAAAAGACATTTCATTAAAAAGATTTTAAAAGTGGTTAAAATGATAAATTTTGTTATGTGTATTTTACTACAATAAAAATAAAAGAAATAAATGTTACTACTTTTATATCTTAAAATATTTCTAAATCAGTCTCATGGTGTAGATGTTATATGATGTTTACTTTTCTTGATGCTTCTTCTGGAAAACTAGAAAAGTGAGGGAAGAGGACTTAGACTTTGTTCATCCCCATTTGACTTAAGTACTGGTTAGGTAAACCACCCCACAACTCACATCTCTATCACCTTCCCTCATCTTAAAGGGAACATTTTTTTTCACAGAATGAAAGCGCTTTCTTCTGCTCCACAGGTATCCTTGATGAAAATATCTTCCCCTACTTATAATTTGAAAATATCCTTGCATCTGTTTCTTTGAAATAATAAGATGTTACTGCTACTTAGAAGAAATGTGTATGTAATTAAACTAACAAATATTTCATCTTAGTATAGTTTTCTTGACATATAAATACCAAGGTTTGTTTTTTCTAATTCAGATTTCTAGGCAAATTCTTTCTAATTGGAATCCCAGTATGAAAATATTTTTAGTAAATCTTTTTGATAACTTATAAACAGAAGTTTGGGAGTTGAAGATACCAAAATTTTAAAAAGTCCTTTTCTATGTATATCATTAGAACTTGAACTGGTACTGGCCACAGTACAGAACAGATATTTTGATAGAGGTATATATTAGATGCTTTACTGTCTGAGCCACCAGAAAGCCCCAATATGTAATAACTCTTACACATAGAAAATAAATTATTTTTTTTCCCTATAGAATATACAGATGTCTTTCAATAAGGAACATGAAGGAAATGCATATTTGAGGTCTGAAATAGTATCTCTTCATGAAGCATCAGAAAAAGCACAGGTAAATCTTCTGATTTCTCTAGTGTTTAGACATTAATTTTGTTCAAGTAAGTAACCAAGAATAATCCTGGTTACATAAATTCAAACCATTGCCATCATCTAAAATTTTTATTTCCTTAAGATGTGTTTCATTTATGAAGCATCATCAAGTTAACTCCCAATTCCCCTTTAGGAATTCTCTAAATTCCTGTGATACATAGGTATCTGAGATACACTGTTATATCATGCGCTAGTCTATACTTGTGTGCTGACTAATTTACTCATTAAATATATACCTTTTATTTCCCCCATTGAACTTCTAAGCAGTTCAGTGCCAAGGGCTATGTCTTATTCTTTCTTTGTGTCTTCTTTGTCAAAGCACAGTGAGAAGCTCATAAGTAATTGCTGATACTGAAGGTGTATGGATCATTTAATGTGGGGTGGTGGTCCCCACGTTCAGCTGATGTTTTGTGCATATGCATGCGTATGGAGAGGAGTCGCCACCGATACAGGAGACCGTGTTGTTTCTCATAGGGCCCGATGAAATGGTGTTGATCAACCGAAAGATCTCTTTGTTAGTACAATTTGATGTTTCAGTGTTAGGATCATAGTGTCGCTATGCTCTTTATGACAGAGAAAATACAAAATGTGTTCTTTCATAAAATAGTGATAACAATAACTACTAATGTGTTCAGTCACAGAGTCATCTCTGACTCTTTGTGACCCCATGGATTACAGCACCCCAGGCTTCCCTGTCCTTCGCTATCTCCGGAAATTTGCTCAAACTCATGTCCGTTGAGTCAGTGATGCCATCCAACCATCTCATCCTCTGGCGTCCCCTTTATCTCCTGCCCTCAATCTTTCCCAGCATCAGGGTCTTTTCCAATGAGTGGGCTCTTTGCATCAGGTGGCCACAATATTGGAGCTTCAGCTTCAGCATCAGTCCTTCCAGTGACTATTCAGGGCTGGTTTCCTTTAGGATTGACTGGTTTGATGTTGCTGTCCAATGGACTGTCAAGAGTCTTCTTCAGAACCACAGTTTAAAAGCATCAGTTCTTAGGTTCTTAGCCTTTTTTATGCTCCAGCTCTCTACTACTATTCTTACTATAAATGATAGTTAAGATTTACTGAACCCATACTGTATACTATGTTACTAACAAATTGTAGTCCTCTCAGTAGCTCTACTGTAGAAACTATTATTTTTCTCACTTTAAAGGTAAGAAAGCTGATATACAGAGAGGTTTAATAATATAACTAATATGTGACACAGTTGGAATTTGAGCCCAGCAATCTAACTCTAAAGAAAATTAGCTATTTCTTTTCAAAGAGTAAGAGTTCTCCTCTGTCTCACCTCTCAAGTGTTACTCAATGAATAGTTTGTACGTCTGGTTATAACTTTAAAATGTTCCTTAGTGTATTTCTATCTACTTTGCCATACATACTACTTATTATCCTGTCCACATAGTTTTTCATCTGTCTCTCCTTTCTTGTTACTAATTTTTGAAGGTTTTATTAATTCTTCAGTTATTTGCCCAATCCTTAAAGAACTTGTATATTAAAACATAAGATCCTTACCAAATATACTTTGCAAAAATAACTGAGAATTAAGATAAATATTTTCCACAGGAATACAAATTAAAAAATACCAAAAGGACAAAAGAATTATAAACTAACTACATGTTTAATAGATGTGTTGCACAAAAGACTTCTATTTCATTTTGGAAGATTAATCTTGTGAAATGGTACAGTCATCTGTATTTTGCTTTTTTGAATACTGTAATTGGTGATGAAGGAGCTTAGCTATTTTATGTTATCAGCTAAACAATTCTAAAAACTCATCATCCAATTTTGGGAATGGATTTTGTATAGCATTGGCCATGCATCTACATTGTAAATCCCATTCTGTAGATATCTTGCTCCGATTGACCAGCATGCAAAATGCAAAAGAACAAAAGATTGGTACACTGCCAAATGCTTCAGTTCTACCAAATCAACAAATTTCTCCTTTTAATTTAGAATTATTTAGGATGGTGATTCCAAATATTTGAAAGTATTTTATAATTAAATATCCATTGGGTTAAATAAAGTTCACATATATGGTGAAATAATACCATGAAATACTATGTAATTATTAAAAATAATGATGCATAAGTAAAAAGAATTATTTACTGGAGAGATCTGTGATTTGCTATATATGTTGTCTTAGAATTTGAATGACCAACTGACAAGAAAGTGTTCAGAATTGAGCAACATGCTTCAGACTGTTAAAATGGAAAATACCAGAATCATTGCTGACCACCAAGCCATTCTGCAGGTACTCATTTTTATTTTTTTCACAATAGTAAAAGATGCTTATTAGTTTCCATAATCAACAGCCAGACAAAAAATGTAATTACAATTGCAAGCCATAATGGAAACATGATTAACCTAACAATATAAAATAATTACATACAATTTGGGGGAGTCAAGCAGAGTTATATGCACATGTTTTCTTCCACCCAGTGTCCTTTGGTTATTGCATTTAATCCATTTACATTGAAGGTATTTATGGATATGTATGATCCTCTTACCACTTTCTCACTTGTTTGGGGTTTATTTTCTGTAGATCTTTTCCTTCTCTTGTGTTTCCTGCCTGGAGAAGTTCCTTTAGCATGTGTTGTAAAGCTAGTTTGGTTGCACTGAATTCTCTTAACTTTGCTTGTCTGGAAAACTTTTGGTTTCTCCATCAAATCTGAGAGTCTTGCTGGGTGGAGTATTCTTGGTTGTAGGTTCTTCACTTTCATGACTTTAAATATATTGTTGCATTCCCTTCTGGCTTGTAGAGTTTCTGTTGAGAAATGAGCTGATAATCTGATGGGAGTTCCCTTGTATGTTATTTGTCATTTTTCCCTTGTTGTTTCTAATATTTTATCTTTGTCTTAAATTTTTATCAGTTTGATTACTATGTGTCGTGGTATGTTCCTCCCTGTGTTTATCCTGATGGGGACTCTCTGTGCTTCCTGGACTTGATTGACTATTTCCTTTCTCGTGTTAGGGAAAATTTCAGCTATTATTGCTTCAGATATTTTTTCAGGTCCTTTCTCTCTCTGTTAGTGCATTTAATGTTGTCCCAGAGGTCTCTTAGGCTGTCTTCATTTTTTCTTCCATTCTCTTTTCTATATTCTGTTCTGCAGCATTGATTTCCACTATTCTATCCTCCATGTCATTTATCCATTCTTCTGCCTGTTACTCTGCTATTGATTCCTTCAAGTATGTTTTCATCTCTGTCTGTCTGTTCTTTAGTTCTTTTAGGTCTTTACTAAACATTTCTTGCATCTTCTCCATTGTTTTCCTGATATCCTGGATCATCGTCACCATCATTGTTCTCAATTTTTTTTCTGGAAGGTTGCCTAACTCCATTTTGTTTAGTTGTTTTTCTGCCATTTTATCTTGTCCCTTCATCTGGAATGTAACTTTCTGCTTTTTTAGTTAAATCAGTTAATACTGATTAACTTTCTGTAATACGACTTTTGTTCTAGCTGATGTGGGCTTTTGGTTCTTCTTGCTTCTTCAGTCTACCCTCTGATGGAGGAGGCTAAGAGGCTTGTTAAGCTTGATGATAGGAGGGACTAGGTCTTGCTCTGGTGAATGGGGCCATGCTAAGTTTAGTTCAGTCGTTCAGTCATGTCCAACTCTTTGTGACCTCATCCAGCACTCCAGGCTTCCCTGTCCGTCACCAACTCCTAGAGCTTGTTCAAACTCATGTCCATTGAGTCAGTGATGCCATCCAACCATCTCATCCTCTGTTGTCCCCTTCTCCTCCCACCTTCAATCTTTCCCAGCATCAGGGTCTTTTCNCTAGGTGAGTGATCACACCATCGTGATTATCTGGGTCATGAAGATCTTTTTTGTATAGTTCTTCTGTGTATTCTTTCTATCTCTTCTTAATATCTTCTGCTTCTGTTAGTTCCATACCATTTCTGTCCTTAATTGTGCCCATCTTTACATGAAATGTTCCCTTGTTGTCTCTGATTTTCTTGAAGAGATCTCTGGTCTTTCCATTCTATTGTTTTCCTCTGTTTTTTGCATGGATCACTGAGGAAGGCTTTCTTATCTCTCCTTACTGTTCTTTGGAACTCTGCATTCAAATGGGAGTATCTTTCCTTTTCTCCTTTGCATTTGGCTTCTTTTCTTTTCTCAGCTATTTGTAAGTTCTCCTCAGACAGCCATTTTGCCTTTTTGCATTTCTTTTTCTTGGAGATGTTCTTGATCACTGCCTCCTTTACAATGTCATGAACCTCCATCCATAGTTCTTCAGTCACTATGTCTGTCAGATCTAATTAATCCTTGGATCTGTTTGTCACTTCCACTGTATAATCATAAGGGATTTGATATAGCTCATACCTGAATGGTCTAGAGGTTTTCCCTACTTTCTTCAATTAAGTCTGAATTGTTCTATAAGGAGTTTGTAATTTGAGCCACAGTCAGCTTCCCATCTTGTTTTTGCTGACTGTATAGAGCTTCTCCATCTTTGGCTGCAAAGAATATAATCAGTCTGATTTCAATATTGACCATCTGGTGATGTCCATGTTTAGAGTCTCTCTTGTGTTGTTGGAAGAGGGTGTTTGCTCTGACCAGTGTGTTCTTGTAGCAAAGCTCTATAAGCCTTTGCCCTGCTTCATCCCTTACTCCAAGGCCAAATTTGCGTGCTATTCCAGGTGTTTCTTGAGTTCCTACTTTTGCATTCCAGTCCCCTATAATGAAAAGGACATCTTTTTTTCGTGATAGTTCTAGAAGGTCTTGTAGGTCTTCATAGAACCATTCAGCTTCTTCAGCACTACTGGTTGGGGCATCAACTTGGATTACTGTGATATTGAATGGCTTTCCTGGAAATGCAGAGATCATTCTGTCGTTTTTGAGATTGCATCCAAGTACTGCATTTCAGACTCTCTTGTTGACTATAAGGGCTACTCCATTTCTTCTAAGGGATTCTTGTCCACAGTAGTAGTATAATGGTCATCTGAGTTAAGTTCTCTCATTCCAGTCCATTTTAGTTCACTGATTTCTAAAATGTCAAATGTCAACATTCACTCTTGCCATCTCTTGTTTGACCACTTCCAATTTACCTTGATTCATGGACCTAGCATTCCAGGTTCCTATGCAATAGTGCTCTTTATAGCATCAGACTTTACCTCCATCACCAGTCACATCTGCAAGTGGGCCTTCTTTTTGCTTTGTCTTCATCTTGTCATTCTTTCTGTAGTTATTTCTCCACTGTTCTTTAGTAGCATATTTGGCACCTACTGACCTGGGGAGTCCATCTTTCAGTGTCCTCTAATACTGTTCTTGGAGTTCTCAAGGCAAGAATACTGAAGTGGTTTGCCATTCCCTTCTCTAGTGGACCACGTTTTGTGAGAAATGCGTCTGCTCAGTAAAGCTTTAATCCAGTTATCTTCTGATGGCTGGGTTGCAGTTTGGCCTGAGACAGTGCAGCCCTGGTGTCTGAGGGTCTATAGTAGGATTAACGGTGACCTCCAAGGGGGCCTTCCAGGACTGCTGCTTCCAGTGACTCTGTCCCTGCAGTGAGCTCCTGCCAGCCCCCGCCTCCACGGGAGACCCTCCAACACTAGCAGGTGGTTTTGGTTCAGTCTCCTGTGGGGTCACTGCTCCTCTCCTCTGGGTCTTGGTGTATGTACAATTTTGTTTGTGCCCTCCAAGACTGGAGTCTCTGTTTCCCCCCAGTCCTGTGAAGGTCCTATAATCAAATCCCACTGGCCTTCAAGGTCAGATTCCCTGGGGATTCCTAATCCCTTTGTCAGATCTCTAGGCTGGGAACCCTGACGTGGGGTTCAGAACCTTCCCAACGGTGGGAGAACTTCTTTGGTATTATTGTTCTCCAGTGTATGGTCGCCCACCTGGTGAGTATGGGATTTGATTTTTATCGTGATTGCCCCCTCCTACCGTCTCGCTGTGGCTTCTTCTTTGTCTTTGGACATGGGGTATCTTGTTTTGGTGGGTTCCAGCTTTCTCCTGTAGATGGTTGTTCAACAGCTAGTTGCTATTTTGGTGCTCTCGCAGGAGGAGATGAGTGCATGTCCTCCTACTCTGCCATTTTGAACTGGAAGTTCTGCTCATTCTTTAAGACTCACTGTAATACAGAAGCTTGATCACTCCAATCAGAAAAGATCAGTTTTGTCTTTTAGTTTTTACTCCTAGGACCCTAAGCAGACTAGAATCACAAGGTTTTCTCGCTCGCTCTCTTTTTTTTTTTCCAGCATATGTATATACCAAGCATTGTGCTAAGGATTACATATATTACCTCCTTTAATCCTAGCAGCTGTTACATAAAGGGATATTTGTCATCCTTATTTTACAGGTAATAAAAAAGTTTAGAAAAGTTAATCAACTTGTCCAAAATCACCCAGCTAGTACAGGATGAAGCAGATATAAATCTAGGTTTGACTCCAGACTTGGTGTTTAATAATCTATGTTATGTCGCCTTTTATTCTGCATTCCATAGTAGTACTTTATGTGTGTGACTCATTTCCTGTACTGCATTGTGTTCTTCCTAGGACACTGTCTTATATGTCTTTATTACCCATAGTGCTGAGTGTATCTTGCATCTAACAGATTCTCAATAAATATTTTTCATTATTTCAAACACTGTGTGTTTACCCCATGTAAGTATTGTTATGATACTAGATCTGGATAGAATTATGGTAGTGAACAAGACAAATCCCTACTTTCATGAAATTTACCACTTAGTAGATTGAATAATGTGACTTAGATACATAACAGTTTCATAAACATTTTAAAACCTTGGAATATGACACAGGTGAGATCCCATTTTATCAAGTATGAAGGTGTGAGGGTTTGCCTTGTAATCAATATTGTTCAAAACAATGTATTTTAAAGTATGTTTACAAAAGTAATTATTAGCATGTTCTCTATTTATAAAAGCTTTATATATTGTGGATAGAGGGAGTATGCATAAAAATGGTGAGCCAGATAAAAGTTAATTGTGTAAAAACAGTTACAGACTTCTGCTCTCACAGTATCTGAGCACAGTTTCAGATACTCTCAAAAGAATTTACAGTAAACTGTGAAACATGATTGTCCCTGGAGAGTGGAATTATTTGGAAGAGGTGTGGAGGAGTTAGAGGTGGAAGACTTTTTTTCCTTTATATACATTGATATTGTCTTACTTTTTAAAGTATAGTACCATGTTGAAATTTTAAATTACCAAAATATACCTAATATAGTTCTATATCCGAAAATTTGTATCAATTGTATTCAAAAAGTTGTATAAATTTTGCAGCAAGCTGGGTAAATGATGCACCTTGATTGTTGGCAAGAAGAGCTGTAAAGTGATAAAATTGTGGTCAAGTCAGGGTAGGGACAAAGAGAAAACTGGACATTAAGATAAATTCTTTCAAAAAGAGGTTTTATTTATATAAATTAAATTTTACTTTTGTAAGTATCAGTATCTTTGATTAGTTATTTAGAATGATATCCTATCAATTGACTTCTGGCATCTCAGCTTTTAATATTACTTCCAACAGGAGGAACAGAAAATGATGACACAGACATTTCAAGAACAAAACTTACTGCTGGATGCAGCCCATGCCAGTATCACAAGCGAGCTACAGACTGTTCAGAATGAAAAAACACAGCTCCAAGTGCATCTGTAAGTAAATCATAGGCAACTTCTGTATTTTTCGCTTTTGTACTTGTATTTCGTATCTTAATGCAGATGTTCTGATTCTGCATTTGCTGGGCCAGCCACAAAAATAAAAACACTGCCCTCACGGAACTAAGTTTGTTAGAACATTTTAGTAATTGCTCTCAGGCAGGAGATACATTCTATAAGAACATTTAGTCGTAAAGAAGAGCTCTCATTCAGCTTTCATGTCTTCTTGCTCTCTTCCTGCAGGGACCATTTAATCCTTGAGCATAACCAGTGTATCCAGAAAGCACAAGAGGCTGAGGAGAGGGCAACAGTCCAGAAAGAGCTGCTGGAATCCACTATTGCAAGATTGCGAGCTGACCTGGAAGCGTCAGTGCAAGAGAAGAAGTCTCTACTAGAGGAGAAAGACAGACTTCAGAAAGAGGTAGGTGGAGGCAGATTTGTTACCTCCTGGTTGTGGGTGGTGATCTTGTTTTAAAATTGTATTTTAAGTGCAAAAGACGAGAAAAGAAATACAACCCAGATGGAGTTTGTCTGAGTTACCCATGAAAGAAGTCTTTGGGTGGGTAATCGATGTCTTTTAGCCATGTGAGTAGTCTGTGCCAAATAGTCTACCCTTACATAGCATTAGTGAACGTTAACTAACCATTCACACATCCTCATGTTAGTTAAGGGGTCAGATTTTAAAAATCCATTTTCCAACAGTGGGAGTGGGACAGTGTAGCAGAAACAGTGTAAGGGAAAACGGCCCTGTCTTCCTAGTCGGGAAGGAACTAGCAGTCTGACATGCAGACGTGTCTTTCTAATTTCAGGGCTGTTTGTGAAGTCTCCTGCTTCAGAGACTCTCTGAGTGGCCCCTTTTCTGAGAGGATGTGCTATCTCTGCAGTGTAGGTATTAACTCACATGCAGGGTGTGTCTGCTATAGTAGAGCCTGTCAACTGTTTTTAAAAGACTGGTCTCCTTTTTTCCCCGCTTCTTGGGCAGGTTAATAAAACAGAGAAAGAAGTAGCAGAGGAAAAATGCAACTTGGAAAAAGAATTATCTAAAAGCAAGGTATTCCACGTTTTCTTTCTTTTTGTGTCATTATGTTTTATTTCCTTCTGTATTGTTGCCTGTTGTATCAGCTTATCTTAGTGAGGAGACGGGTTATATTGCTGAATAACAAAATGTAGGGGAGGAGAGAAGCTACGAAGCTGGATGCCCTCAGAGCACTTCAGTCACTTCAGCATAAGGCTGCTTCTGGGAAAGGTTTGTTTGTTGAGCGTCTTGTGTTTGCCAGTGAGTCATCACTGCCTCTGACCCTAGTGTTCACCAAGCAGTTTAGCTAGAAAGACTCCCAAGTGTGAGCTCATGGGCCTGTGGGAAGCAGAGGGATGATTGCTGACAGTGCTTTTTTTTAAAAAAATAAATAAAGCTAATTTAGGCTTCTTATTAGTTCTTGCAGTTTTGTGAGATACCCCTTTCTAGGTTCTATAAAGGTAGAATGGCCAGAGAAACGAATACAATCCTTATCGAAATAGAACAAAAAAAAAAAAACAACTTTAAAACATTGCTGTTTGCATTTCAGAATTTAAGAGAGTAAGGGTTATGTATCGTTGTCATCTGGAGTATATCTGGAACACCAAGAACTATTAGGCCGCCCTGCTCAATAAAACCAACAACAGATGCTAGAGAGAGCCATCAAGCCTTGACTGTTCGGCTTCTGGCTCAACTAAATAGCATTCGTATTACCTACCACATATGTGAACCTCTTTAGAAAATCATTGTATTTCTCTTTGGCCATGCTGGGTCTCGGCTGCCATGCGGGCTTTTCTCTAGCTGCGGTTGAGTGGCAGCTGTCCCCTCGTCGGGCGCGCGGGTTTCCCACTGCAGGGCTTCTCCCACCGCGGAGCACAGGCTCCAGGTGCACAGGCTTCGGTAGGGGTCGCTCCGGGCTCTAGGGCACAGGTTCAGTAGTTGGGGAACACGGGCGTAGTTGTTCTGCAGCATGTGGGATCTTCACAGATTGGAGATTGAACCTGCATCTCCCACATTGGCAGGTGGATTCTTGACCACCGAGCCACCAGGGAAGACCCATCTATGTGAACTTGTAGTTTAAGAACTACAGAGAGAAAAAAAAGCTAAATTCTGTACGGGAGCTCCGAGACAGTTCACCAAGCTGGCAGTACCTTCTGTGGTTTTACTCACTCATGTCCAGTGATTCAAAAACAGTCCCCCTAAAAGACCTTTAAATAAAGCTGACTTCCTGTGGCTAGGGTTTTGCTGGTATCAGTGTGGCCTCAATATGCTTTTTAAAATTTGGAAAATTGGTGGATACTATTAATTCATTAATACTTTTTGCTTTAAAATGCTAGTGAATATTTCGTGGCTATGGTGAATAGCTATTTATGATTACAACATAGCATTATTATTTTGCTTGTCTGATTTCATTTGTCCTAATGTAGACTGAGTATATGTTCATGGGACTGAAAGATGCTATACTTGCTTGTTTGCTGTTGTTCACTCAGCAAGTTGTGTCCAACTCTTTGCAACCCCATGGACTGCAGCACGCCAGGCTTCCCTGTCTCTCACCATCTCCTGGAGATTGCCCCCAAGTTCATGTCTATTGAATCGGTGATGCCATCCAGCCATCTCATCCTCTGTTGTCCTATTCTCCTCCAGTCTTCAATCTTTCCTAGCATCA